GATTTTCTGTTAGTACTCATCATTTCTCTCCCAAAAAAAGCTTCTTTTTTTTTTTTTTTTTTTCCTTTTTCCCAACATTACTGAGGGGTTTGCCGTTAAAGAAATTGCAGGATATGACAAAGTATTTTTAACTATCCATTTGCAGTTTTGCAATCAGGTCTTTATCCAATCACACAGTGTTTTGGAATGAAGGTGTAAATGCAATATGGCTAAAACTGTCTAGACCAGTGGTTCTAAATTATGGAGTCCAAGCAAACTTTCAAGGGGTCCACTAAGTGACTTAAAAGTATTTAAATTAATAAATTATTATTAATATATTGAAATAATCTAACACTAAATTAAAATAAAGATCAACAAAACAAAATGAATTGTGATTCACTACTTTAATATGTCAACACTACCAGTTATTTTAAATAAGAAGTTGAAAACAAGCAGTTTTGTCATAATTACTATAGAAATACTTGTAATATCATACATTGGGGGAAGGAGGATCCTTCAAATATTGTGTTGGGCAGTGGGAGGCCTTCGAGTCAACAAGGTTGAAAACCACTTGTCTACATATAATCTGAACATGAAATGCATGTTAATGCCAGCCTTAGAGAGAGAGTTTTTTTTCCCTTACATAGAATATAAATCAAGGATTCTCAAATCTGGCCCACGAGATCCACTTTCCTGCAGAGTTTAGCTCTAACCCTAATCAAACACACCTGAGCATTGTCTTCAGGATCATTAGAAAATCACAGGTAGGTGAGTTTGATCAGGGTCGGAGCTAAACTCTGCAGCACATTGGCCCTCCAGGGCAAGATTTGAGGAACCCTGATATAAATCTTCATCCTATAGTCTCTTTTATAATGGCTACAGTGGGATGAAATGCTCGAGTTATAGCTGGTCTCATCGCTGCTCAAGAACAGCTTGTGACACTAATTTGTTTTTCTCTTTTGTTTTGTTTGGGCTGTATTGTTTGCCATAGCATTACGTTGATTTGTGTCCTGTCTTTGTTTTATCTCAGTTCCCATACCTCTCCATCTGACTCCTCCCTTTCTGGCCTCCCTCCTTTCATATCACTTTTCATTGCTTTCTTTTCCCATAACCCCCGGCTTATCAAAAGATCCAAGAACCCCCTTCTTTCTACTTTTATTTGCTGTCTTTTTTTGGTTCTTGTTTTTTTTTGGTAGAGATTTAGAAGCAGACCACTTCCTGAGAATTCCACTTTGAAGTAGTGTTCTTTTAGAAGCGGATTCCTCATTTTGGTTTGATACTGTTATTCCACTTTCATCTAGACAAGACTCTTTCTGTTGTTTAAATCTTTCTGATTTAAACTTAGAACCTCAAAATGCCCTCACTCATCCTTTTCATTTTTTTCTATCTTCTAAATTTTTTTTTTCCTTCTTTTATGTTGTTTTATATATATGTATATATATATACAGTATATGATTTAGTCCCACCTTTAATTGATTGTCCTTCTAACGAGCTGCTTTATGATCGGACTGGGTTCCTCAAACACTTTCAAATGCAGCTTCAGAGTATCAGGGCACATGTGGTGTTAGAAGTACGTGTGCAGGTCTATGCAAATGTGAACATTAGGGAGCTGCGATTCTGTAGAAAGAGAGTCATGTGCCTTACAATGACTCTGAATCTCAGAGACCACCCTCACTCTTTACCCCTTTAACCAACCCTCCAAACTCCGCCCATTCACACCCCTCCCCCCTTCCTTCTGTGCTTATCACCTCATTATTCACTCTGCTGTCTGATTGGCCTGTAAAAGCTAAGCAGACCTGAGGCCACACCCAGACACAAATTGGAAAGTCTGGAAGGCACAGCAAGGGTGAGACTTTCTGCTGGATTTCCCTCTATTTCTATTTGATGAATGTTTTTGATTGCCAGTTTACAAACCTAAAGTAAAGAAACCCACCGCCTATCTCAGGTGTCGAGCATCAAGCTTTTGTGAACCTAAAGTCTGTAATTAAATTTTTTTTTTTTACATCAAGTGTGATCATCCATATGAAGTTAAGACCCCATGAAATGCAGCAGGTTTCTTTTCTATTTTGGTCTGTTTGGTTGCAAGATAAAGACTGTAAATTTTATGTGTGCTAAAGAATATGTTAATATATTGATATCACACATGGAATTTTTTGTCCATTTTAAAGCCATTTTGATTTCATGGGGCCTTTTTTTATGAATAATTGGTACAGCTTTGGTTGAAATCAAAATATCTCCTGTTTGCAAATGCAGATTTTGTATGAATCACATCATCATAATATTACCGTTAGTTACAGATGCATTCAACATAAGGCTGAAAAGCTATTGTAACTTCTGTAATAAACAAAAAATTGCATAAATGTCCTTGAGGGCAAAGACAATAAACTAGATCCTAAATCCATGCCTGAATAAATCCCGATTACAGTTTAGCTCCACATGGTTCATATTTCCTCTGTGTCATTCAGTCTGGCTTTCTTCCCTCTTTCACTCTCTTTATTTCTGCAGACCTCTTCCCGTCTTTCCGTCCGACCCTCCAGTTCTGAAACCCCCAGCGCTGCAGAGTTAGTCAGTGCCATTGAGGAGCTGGTCAAAAGAAAAATGGTAAGAAGTGCACAGATATATATATATATATATATATATATATATATATAATGCTACAATATAGCCATCATATTATTTGGCTGGACTGATTTCTCATGTCCACACAGGCTCTGGAGGACAGACCCAGCTCTTTGTCTGTGGAGCAAGGGGACAGCAGCAGCCCCTCTTTCAACCCATCTGATAACTCCCTCCTCTCTTCCTCCTCTCCGATCGATGAGATCGAGGAACGCAAGACTGGCTTCCTCAAGAGACGGCAGTATGTCATCACGCTCTTCTCTCTCTCTGTTATTGTCCTCATTGATTGTCAGTGTCTATAACAGGTGTCCCCTTTCCTCTTTTTAGTTACGTACTGCTGGAACTAATCGAGACAGAGAGGGACTATGTGAGAGATCTCAGTTTGGTCGTGGAGGTAAATGAATACTGTTCACGGGATGCTGAGATACAGGGAGTGATCATGTGGCTAGATCTGAAGTGCATACTTGTGTTGTGTGTCTGGTAGGGCTACATGACCAGGATGAGGGAGGATGGAGTTCCAGATGATATGAAAGGAAAAGACAAAATAGTTTTTGGAAACATTCAGCAGATATACGACTGGCACAAAGAGTAAGTATCTAGTCTGTGATGTATTATATTTTCAGTTATTTTTAAATGATGGACATTGATGGGGGGGAAAATCAGCAATTTTATGGCAGTTCATTTTCAGCAGATTTATTACAGATTTTGAAGAGATTTTTTTAATCCTTAATGTTTCAGTTTCTTCCTGGGAGAGTTTGAGAAGTGCCTTGAGGATCCTGACTGGCTGGGCCCTCTCTTCGTCAAACATGTAAAAAAAAAAAAAAAAAAGCTTTTTTTTAGGCAACCAAACAAACTTTTTTTCTGTAATATGATATTGTACATACTCATGAACTCATCATGCCTTTCAGGAGAGGAGACTGCACATGTACATTGTTTACTGCCAGAACAAACCTAAATCTGAGCTTATTGTCTCAGAGTATATCGACACCTATTTTGAGGTGCGTAACTGAAGTCTTTAGTCTGATTTTAACATAATTTCTGCCCATTATAGAGCTTGCATTTCCTTATGAAATATATTTTGCATTTATGTCAGTAAACCATCAAATAGAAATCACATAGAACGTAATGAAACATTTATAATGTGATATTGAATAAATGCATTATATATAAGCATCAAGATCTGTTTTTGACCCTCTCTTGCAGGATCTGAAGCAGCGTCTGGGTCACAGGCTTCAGATCACTGATCTGCTCATTAAACCCGTGCAGAGAATCATGAAGTACCAGCTGCTGCTTAAGGTTTGTCCATCTGGTCCAGTGCATCTCATTGTTTTAGCCCTATTGACAGAGTTGATTCTGATGTCTCTCTTTTGGTTTATTTATTTCCAGGATTTCCTCAAATTTTCCAAAAAAGTTGGAATTGATTCAGTAGAATTGGAGGTTAGTTTTTTCTATGCTATATACTACAATTCAAAAGTTTAGGATCAATAAGGCGTTTTAAATGTGTTTGTCCTATTGTAATTTGATCAAAAAATGCAACAATATTGTAAAATATTATTGCAATTTAAAACTGTTTTCTATTTTAATATATTTTAAAATGTAATTTATTCCTGTGAATACAAAGCTGAATTTTCAGTGGCCATTACTCCAGTCTTCAGTCACAGGATCCTTCAGAAATCATTCTAATATGCAGATTTGCAGCTCAAGAAATATTTCTTATTATTATCAATGTTGAAAACAGTTTTAGTAGTTTTAATAACAGCTTAATATTTTGTTCTTAGATGAGTAGTAGAAGTGTAAATCTTTCTTTTGTAACATAATAAATATCTTTACTGTCACTTTAGATCAAGTTAATGTGTCCTTGTTAAATAAATTTATACAAAAAAAAAACATATCAACCCAAACTTGTGTGTGTTTATATATGTATAAGCAATATATATATATGTATATTTATATATTGATTGGTTGCGTCATATGTATTTATACTGATGAAGTTATTGATGTGTTGTAGAAAGCGGTTGAGGTCATGTGCATTGTACCAAAAAGATGCAACGACATGATGAATGTTGGTCGACTCCAGGGATTTGATGTAAGATTGCTGTGACCTTTTTTATCAGTAGATTATTATCAAGAATAATTGTAGTCTTTTACATGTGAATTAATTCATTTGATCGGTCTCTCTGTCCTTCACAGGGAAAGATCATTGCTCAGGGGCGTCTCCTCCTGCAGGACACCTTCATGGTGGCTGAACCGGATGGAGGCCTGCTGAACAGAATGAAGGAGAGAAGAGTCTTCCTCTTTGAACAGATTGTCATCTTCAGTGAACCTTTAGATAAAAAGAGGGGCTTCTCGATGCCTGGTTACCTGTACAAATACAGCATCAAGGTACAGGCATCCTCGTCTGACAGTTTCATGGTTTCTAATTTTATCGTGCCAGATTCGGTGATAAATATAAAATTGTATAAAGAAGATCAAAACATTCTGTTTGTGTGTGTATAGGTGAGCTGTCTGGGGCTTGAGGATAGTGTGGATGGAAACCCATGTAAATTCACACTGACCTCTAGAACGTCCAATGTCAGCAAAGAGGCCTTTGTTCTGCACTCAAACCACCCTGGAGTCCGACAAGTCTGGATGCTGCAGATCAGCCAAATCCTGGAGAGCCAATGCAATTTCCTCAATGGTACAGCAACCAGCAATACTTTTAAGGATATATAAGTCTTTAAATCATCTAGAAATCATCTTGAAATAATAAAGTGTTATATTCATCTCAAGTTCATGAAGTCTAATGCATTAGCTAATGCTAATGAATTGATCCCCATTGTAAAGTTTTCGCTTACAATATCTTTAGGTTGTTTTTGCAAGTCTTTTCTTGCCTGTTATACCCTCATAAAATCGGGATAATCTGAGCTGTTATGCTCATGTGCAAATTCATTGTCCTCACTAGATGTCTTTCCTCCTGTAGTGCTTACATCTCCTATAGACTACCAGAGGAACCATGTCGAGGGGCCTGGTGTCTCAGGCAGCATACAGGCTGGAGGTAGCGGGGGTCAGGTCATGGTCCCTGGAGGAAGCGGAGGGGCCCCGGCTGGGTCGGGTTCCCGCTCCCGCCCCTCCCGTATCCCCCAGCCCTCACGCTTGCCTCAGCCGCTCCGTCATCACTCTCCCGCACTGGGGCCCGGAGCCCACGAGCCTGACGGCCCCGACAAAATATCAGGTATGTCCCCGAGACCTCTCTCCAGGGGTCCCTCACCCTCTTGCACCACAGAGCCTGATCCAAAGGTGAAGGTTCCTGCGAGCCCTCACCCCAAACAGACGGACTCTACAGAAAGCGCTTCCAAAGAGAGCAGGGATGGAGTCGGCACGGCCCAGATCCCTCGGGCCACCGTGGCCCCGCTAGGACTGGTCAAACCCAGACCTGGAACGGTCTCGCCCATGGCCTCCCCATTAGCCACACCTGCTTTCAAAGACTCCATCCCACCCTGCAGTCCTGGGCCAAAGACAGGTGGCAGCTCCACCTCGTTCTGGAGCTCCGTTCCTGCTTCCCCCGCCAGCAGGCCTGGTTCCTTTACTTTCCCTGGGGAAGCATGTGACACACTGGGACGGCAAAACCAGAACCAAAGTCACCGGCATTCCACCCACAGTAAGGACGCAGACCGAATGAGTACCTGCTCTTCTGCCAGTGAGCAATCTGTCCAGTCCACTCAGAGCAACGGGGTAAGAGACACACTCCTGCCCCGGTCGACCGCAGTGCTTCAGCTCAACTCTGCTCCTGTCTTCCCTCATGAATGACTCTCTAACCCACCTGGATTCTGTCTGATTTCTGCCTCTCCTAACCTGGTTTCTACTCTGTGGACTTCCAACAGATCCTTTGCTCTGCATCTCAGAATTCTAACACGGTTCTGCTTCTGGCCAGATACTAACTGTTTATGGAGTTGTAAAACAAGAACCAGGTTTTCCCTTCCTTAAAAAGAAGCTCTTAACTTCAAGCTTTCTTTGTGGTGTGTACAAGACAATCAGCTTTTCCTAAAGACTAAAAGTATGGTCACGTTTACTGTTGTTTTCTGAATATTTGTGAGTGAAATACAGTAATTTCAATAGGAATCACCACGAGCGGGAATTTTGCATCAGGGTGAAAGATTTCTGGACACAGATTTCTTAAAAGGATAGTACTCACCCTCATGTCATTCCAAACCTGTAAGACCTTCGTTCATCTTCGGAACACAAATTAAGGTATTTTTGATGAAATCCGAGTTTTCTGACCCTCCATAGACCGCAACGCAGCTACCACATTCAAGGCTCAGAAAGGTAGTAAGGACATCGTTAAAATAGTCCATGTAATATCAGTGCTTCAACCGTAATGTTATGAAGCTACAAGAATACTTCTGTGTGCAAAGTAAACAAAAATAATGATTTTATTAAACAATTCTACTCTTCCATGTCAGTTTTTGACGCACATTCATGAGTGTACCACGACACATGCGCAGCACATCCGGGGTTCTACGTCAGAACGCACGTCGAAGACCGACTTGGAAGAGAAGAATTTGTTGAATGAAGTCGTTATTTTTTGTTTTCTTTGTGCACAAAAAGTATTCTCTTAGCTTCATAAAATTAAGGTTGAACCATTGATGTCACAATGTAACAATGTCCTTTCTACCTTTCTGGGCCTTGAAAAATGGAGGGTCAGAAAGCTCTCGGATTTCATCAAAAATATCTTAATTTGTGTTCTGAAGATAAACGAAGGTCTTGCGAGTAATTAATTACAGAATTTTCATTTTTGGGTGAACTATCCCTTAAATGGCTCAAATTAGTCACATGGATTTGCTACATTGACCACAGAAAGCTGCTTGATTTGAAAGTGATTTCTGTGTGAGCTTTGCTACATAAATCGATTCACTACACTATTGACAATAGACACTGGGCTTTTTTTTGTCCACAAAATTTAGCCAATGTGACTGCATCTTAGCACTGTTAATCTTACAAATCTAATGCAGGAAACATCTGTGGATGTTTTGATTCTGCCTATCATGTGATCTGCTTCCGAATTGTAGATCTTTTTAACAGGCTACTGTAACTAACATGGGTTCTTGTCTCACTTTCTTTTCTGTTTCTTATCTTATCTTTTCTTTGACTATTCTTGTTTAATAATGCATGTTTTCAATGCAGTGCACTTGCAGAGTTAATCAAAAGCTGTCAATCAAAAGTTGTGAATATTATTGAGCATGGGAGTTATTATGGAATGTTTTGTCATCTAATACCAAAAATGAAATCCAAAACATACATTTATGATGAATATACTAGCCCTCATGTTCTGTTTGGGGTCTGAGAGACCTCAAGGCTCTATTTTGTTACAATTGAAGCATCAAGCTCAAATGTTTCCTAATATAATGAAGACTGATTTCAACTTGATAAAATACTTCAAATGTCCTCCATAACAAATATTGCAATATTTCTATGGGAGAGACCCAAAACATATAAACATTTATTTAACAATTATTTAAATTAAAGATAAAAATAAGAATTTATTTATAAAATCATCATTTTCTGATTGTTTACATTTACAATAAATTATTGTTTTTTTTTTTACAGTATGTTGTTTCTATGGTCAAATTAACCATAAACAGAAACAACATTGTTACCAAAAATAATGACCTTTATTTAAAAATAATAATGCTTGCATCAATAACACTTAAATATACTGGGTTTTGGGTAGGTCACCGGAACAAATTGCAAGAAATTTTAAGAGGACAAAAGAAGCAATTTTCTAACTTTTTTAAAACACATTTAAACAGAACATGAGGGTTAATAAGTAAATGTGGAAATACTGTCATTTACCCCCAGGAAAACCTACAGTGTTGTACACTACAGGTATTTGTGTTAAAGGTATAAGGTGTCTCCGATACTAAGACCTGTATGTGTGTCTGTTTGTCCACAGAGTGAAAGCAGCAGCAGCAGTAATATCTCCACCATGTTGGTGACTCTTGTGATAAAGCTATAAAATCTCTCAGATACTAAGACCTGTATGTGTGTCTGTTTGTCCACAGAGTGAAAGCAGCAGCAGCAGTAATATCTCCACCATGTTGGTGACTCAGGACTATGTGGCTCTGAAAGAGGATGAGATAAATGTAGGTCAAGGGGAGGTGGTGCAGATCCTGGCCTCCAATCAGCAGAACATGTTCTTGGTGTTTCGCGCCGCTACCGACCAATGCCCAGCCGCCGAGGGCTGGATCCCTGGATACGTGCTGGGCCACACCTCCGCCAATATCCCTGATGTACCAGAGGGGACCATTAAGTAAGAGCTCGCCTCTAACCATTTACATAACACATTCTGCAATAAAATCAAACCTATTTTTGTTACAGGCCTTTAGTGGTTATCATCTGTTGGATATTTAACATGTTTTTTAACATAATGGGTTACTTTCCAGCAGGAAATCATCATCGTGGCATACATCCCTCCGTATCCGTAAGAAGTCCGAGAAAAGAGAGAAGGAAAATAAAAAAGAGGCCAAGCTTGAAAATGGATACAGGAAATCCAGAGAGGGACTAACCAACAAGGTCTCTGTAAAGGTAACACTAATGAAAACACAAACAAATCTGTCTCTAATGTTATTTTCTAGAAAAATCCCTCAGAAAAAATGTATGCTCAAAACTTTGTTTTCCATTTTGCAGCTTCTAAATCCCAATTATATCTATGATGGTAAGTTCAAAATATTGATTAAGTGCATCATTCTGTTTGTTTAGAATTATAAAAAAGTCAAACATAATAAGGGGTTGACGTGGATCTTTTTCCTCCAGTTCCCCCAGAGATCCTCGTCCCGCTGAGTGATGTGACCTGTGATAAAGGGGAGTGTGTCACTCTGAGGTGTAAAGTGTGTGGCCGCCCCAAAGCCACAGTCACATGGATGGGACCCGATCAGAAAACACTCACCAACAATGGCCACTTTAGCATAGTCTACAGGTGCGGAAAAACGGGGAAAAAAAGAAATTTCTTTCAGTTTTGGTGATATCCGTACAGTATATAATGTTATTATTTTGTTAATATACGTTTATTTACTGCTTTATTTTAAGGACCTCATAAATAGTTATTTGATTAATTTTAATTTGATCTTATTCGATTTTTTGTAGTTATTAAACTCTAGTTTGTAGTTTTAGCTAATGTAATGGTTTTGTTTTCTGCATAAATCATTATTTCTTTCCGCTGCATCGCAGTGAGACTGGCGAGACCACTCTGCGTATCGTAGGTGTGACCTCAGAGGATGATGGCATGTACACCTGCATTGCAACGAATGACATAGGCAATGTGACATCATCAGCCAGTCTCAGAGTGTTGGGTAAGAATGTGTTCTCACTCAAACAGTCCACCTGGTGTTTCAAAGATTTATTTGTGCAAGGCTATGAACTTAACTGGACTGCCTTTCACAGGAACTACTAGCGATGGAATCCGGGTCATGTGGAAAGACAACTTTGAGTCCTTCTACACTGAGGTAGCAGAGCTGGGCAGGTGAGACACATGGGAATTTATACACTCATATGGATTCCCCTATAAAAACCAGGGCAACATTGCAATTGTGTTAATGTTGCTTCTCTCTCTTAGGGGAAGGTTCTCTGTAGTAAAACGCTGTGACCAGAGGGGATCAAAGCGCACAGTAGCGGTCAAGTTTGTGAATAAGAAACTCATGAAGCGAGACCAGGTCACCCACGAGTTCAGCGTCCTACAGAGACTCCAGCACCCTCACCTAGTCAGACTACTGGACACCTTTGAGACCTCCAGCAGCTATGCACTGGTCCTTGAGATGTGAGAGCTCACAAACACACATACACACACTTTAATATCAGAATGGACTGTGTCACACTCAGATAAGTTTGTGACCGTGTGTATTGTGTGATTGCACAGGTCTGATCAGGGCCGTCTACTGGACTACATTGTGAGCTGGGGGAACCTCACTGAGGAAAAAGTGGCCTTTTACCTCCGGGACATTTTAGAAGCTTTGCAATACCTGCACAACTGCAGAATAGTTCATCTGGATTTAAAGGTCAGTGTTACATACCTAATATTATATATATCACTTTTTAATAAATACTTATAAAATTGTCCCTTTTAATGTATTAATACATAAAATGTAAAGTATCAATAAATACATGTAATCAAATATTGAATAAACAATTAATAAATCAAATATAAAGCATTAATAAATATTATTAAACAATAAATATAAGCTAATAAAACATTTTTATAATAAATTGTATGATATTTTATTTTCTTTTTTCTTTTGAACACTTGCATGATTACTATATTTTTTATTTTTATGTAAAACACTTTGAATTATCATTGTCTATTGAATGTGCTATATAAATAAACTTGCCTTGCCTCAAATGAACAAATAAATTAAATTGTGTTTTATGTTTTAGATTTTATTTATTTTAATTAGCATGCTGGCATCATGCTCTCTTTAAAAGTTTTATGTCTCTAAATTCATTTTTAAAGCACTGCTGCAGCAATACACCTTTAGATAGATGTTTTTGAACAAAAGGATGTCGTTCTGTTTGGGCACTTCTTAAAGGAATAGTTCACCCCAAAATGAAAATTCTGTCACACCTTCATGTCGTTCCAAACCCGTAAGACCTTTGTTCATCTTCGGAACACAAATTAATATATTTTTCAAATCTGAGAGCTCTCTGACCCCGCATAGACAGCAACGCAACTGCGGTGTTCCCAGTCCCAGAAACGTAGCAAGGACATCGGTAAAACAGTCCATGTGACATCAGTGGCTACGAGCTACGAGAATACTTTTTGTGCGCAAAGAAAATGAAAATAACATAATTTATTCAACAATTCTTCTCCCTAAGTTACCGTCTTCCAGCATTTTGGAGAGTACCTCGACGCATATGCGCAGTGTAATCAGCGCTGTTTACGTAAGGAGAAAATGCGTGCATGCTGAACGCACACAACGCTGATTAAGTTGATTATGTTCTGGGGAAAGCGCGCACATGCGTCGTGGTACTCTCCAAAATGGCGGATGACACTAACTCGGGGAGAAGAATGGTTGAATAAATTGCTATTTTTGTTTTCTTTGCGCACAAAAAGTATTCTCGTAGCTTTGCAAAATTGAAGTTGAGCCATTGATGTCACATGGACTGTTTTATCGATGTCCTTGCTATGTTTCTGGGACTGGGAACATTTCAGTTGCGTTGCTGTCTATGGAGGGTCAGAGAGCTCTCACATTTCATCAAAAATATCTTAATTTGTGTTCCGAACATGAACGAAGGTCTTAGGGGTTCGGAACGACATGAGGGTGAGTAATTAATGACAGAATTTTTATTTTTGGATGAACTGTCCATTTAAGAAACGTGAGATCTGGTGGACCGAAAATCAGCTTATTTATTCAAGGATTCCCTACAAGAGTTCTAGAACTGGTCATTCAGACAACCTACAGACAGGGCCGCATTAACCATTGGGCTAGGTGGGGCTGAAGCCCCGGGGCCCGAGCAAGGAGGGGGCCCGTGATTGGCTGTGGAGTAGATTGACAGATATCGGTAGCGCCGATCGCCAAAGCCCCACCACGCCCCTCACTTTTTAGCGCTATTATTTAGTGGAGTTTTTCCGTAAATTTCATGCATTACCATTAGAGATTAAACCGTCACATTTGAATTGGGTTTACCAATCAAATGCATTTATTATATATTTTACTTTTGAAGGA